GAATACTGCAGGGGATAATATAGACAGAAATTTGGTTCTCCCGTTGAGCTTGCATTCTCATCATTGTGATGGTTAACTTTATTTGTCAGCTTGACTGAGCCACAGGATGCCCAGATATTTGGTCAAACATTATTCTGAGTTTCTGACAGTGGTTTTCATTGAAATTCACATTTAAATCAGTAGACTGAGTAAAGCAGATTATTCTTCCTAATGTGGGTGGGCCTCATTCAATCAGGTGAAGGCCTGACTAGAACAAAAAGACTGACTCTCCCCTGAGTAAGAGAATTCTTCCTACTTGATGGTCTCTGAACTGAGACATCAGCTCTTTTCCTGCCTCGTGACTCAAACTGAAACATCAGCTCTTCCTGGGCCTGAGGCCTGCCAGCTTTCAGACTGGAACTCATCCCTTTGGCTCTCCTGATTCTCAGGCCTTCAGACTCAGATTGGAATTAAACTGTTGGCCTTCCTAGGTTTCCAGTTTGCTGACTGTAGACCTTGGGACTTCTCAGCCTCTGTAATCATATGAAACAATGTCTTTTAATCTCCTTCTCTCATTCTGTTTCTCTGTATACCCTGACAAATGCAGTAATCATAATCGCCATAATCTTATTTGTATCTGTCTAGCACCTTCTTCATCTGTTATCTTTTTTTATTCGCAAAACAACATTGAGGCAGAGCAAACACTGTGAAAACCCTCATTTTACTGAGGAAGAAACTGAGGCCTAGGAAGGATTCCCTTTAATTGACTGGGTCTGTTCCCGCCCCCCCCCCCCCCCCCCAGGAGAAACATCCTCAGGTCACTGAAGCCAGAGGACATGTAGGAAGTTGGATGAAAGGTTATGCTGAAGCCATGTTTTCTAAATCTCTTTAGAAAGACAGCAGAACTTCAATTATTACTATTATCGTTTTTCTTTTTGTGTCTAGGGTAGAAAAACAACTACTCTCCTCTCTGATTTTTAATGTAGCACTCATCATCAATTAGGAATCTCTTAAGATTCCCTCAGGGGGAAATAAGAGACTGCAAAACTGTGGGCTAGGAAAATTTTGTGAAATATATATGCAAGATCTTTAAGAAAAGCTTCAACTGGACATAAAAAAAAGCCTAATGGGTCATGGAGACTCTGGTTTAAAAGGATTTTAGAATTTATCAATTCCAGCCCCTTCTTTATGCAGCAAGAGTACTGAAGCCCAGAGGGCAACTGGCTTCCCAAAGTTCACAGTGGAAAAGGAATATATTGACATTATTGCTCAGATAATTGACTTCCAATCCAGTGCTCTGTTCGTTATTTTATGCTTAGGCAGTAAATGCAAAGACTGCCTTCTCCCTTGCCCCCAGCTCTTGGGGTCATTTCATGCCAGCCCTGTGGAGTGGGGATGGAATAGTAGTGGGAAGTGTGTTCATACTCCCTCCTGTTTTCTCTACGTTCTTTGCTCACAGATGACCTTTTAAAATGCAGGATACCACTGGTGTCCCTGCATCTGTAAGTAAAATATTTTGGAGTCAGATAGACTTAGGTTTCAATCCCAGCTTAGGCAAATTCTGTGACATCTCAGACATCAGTGTCTTCATCCACTAAATAGACCAATGTACCACTCTAATTTTCACATGGAGAATAAATAAGATAATGCATGTATGACACTCAATACAATGCCTAAAATAGCAAGCGCTCAAAACCACTACCAGTTATTATTAGGGTGAAATCTAGCATCAAGAGATCTGAGTGGGGGGAAAGTAGGCGAAGACCATATGCTAGGTCTTCAAGGCTAAGTTCAAGGCTGCTTCCTATGTCCACTCCAGCTAGCAGTGAGTGCATTCTCCTCTGAATTTAAAGTCATTTTGTTGGCCTTTCATGACATGCCACACATGTTGTCTTGCATTGTCCCTGTATCACCATGGGAAGCTTCTTTCTTCTCTAGCCCAGGCTTTTCTATCTGTAACATGGAGGGTGGGGAAGGGAGAGTGCCTCCCTCAGAGGGGTTTTGAGGATTTAAACAATTCTGAGAGTGCTTGGCAACGGAGAATAATTAAACAAACTCTCATTCATTCATTCACATGTTTATCAAGGAAAAGCTGCTGTGTGCTTCGCATTGTACTTGATGTTGAGAAAACATTGGCAAATAAGACCCTGTCTCTGTCTCCTAGGACTTTACAGTTAAGTGCATTTCAATGTATGAGATGACGATGATGGTGATTTTAATAATTATTGTCATCAAATTTTGGGGATAGATGAAAGCTATTAGATGTCAGGAACCTTCCTGAATATTAATGTAATGATATAACATATCAAGGGTCAAATCAGAAATGACACAAATGAAGCTCTCGGAATATGATCACTCAATTTCCCTGCTTAAGGTTCTTCAGTGGCTCCAGGGATAAAATCTTAGCTTTTGAAGCAGGGCATTTTTTTGAGGTTCTTCTTCATGTGAGCAATGTATCATTGCTCAGCCCTCTGTAAATCTCACTTTGTGCTCCAGCCACACAAAACTCCATTTAGATTTCTCATACCATCATTCTTTTCCTCGTGCTGTTAACTCTGTAATTCCCCATTCTTCCTCTTCTTAACAAACCCTTGCTTTCCCTGTAAGACACCACCTCTTCTAGGACCCTCTCTGTGACTCATTAGGGAGGGCCAAATACCTGTGTGCTCAGTGGCTTTCTGTGAGTACTTCCATTAAAGTGGCAAATGCTGCCATTTGTACTTTTGTCTGTATCCCTGATAGATTCAATCCTCTCTGCCAGTGACTCTATGTTCCTGACATTCAACACAGAACTAGGGACAGAAGGGCTTAGTGTGTGTTGGTAGAATTAATGAGTGTCATTCATCATTTATTCTTTGCTACCTTCTCAAGACTTGGGTTGAATACATTAATCAAGCATCCATTCAAAGTGGGTTAGGAAACAGAAATTGCTTTCCATGATGAGGAGTTGGATTTTTACCTAAGGCCTCTTGAAGCCTTCTGAATCTGTTGCCACCATAGAGTTGGGTATGGATTCCTGGGATATCAAGGGAAGCTGGAGCCTGTGAAAGGAGGGAGACTTTGAGACTCCTCTCTGTCCCAAGAGGGTTCAGAAGTGATTCTCAGTGTTGTCAATGTCAGGAGAGGAGAGGACGGCCGCATCTCACCAAGGGTTTGCAGTCCTACACTGAGGATGTTCAGCCTGTTGTCTAAGGAGTACCTTCTTTAACTTAATTTTCTCCTGGGATCCCCATGGCATAATTCAAATAATTTGCACTGCAGGGATCAGAAAGACTGGACTGGAATCCTGGTTATTCCATTTGCTGGTTGTATGACTTGGGTACCCAGCTGAGTCTTGGTAGGATGCCCACCTCACATCGTGGTGGAACAGGCTTACTGGGATGACATCTGTACTGTGTAGCCCGACGTCCAGTCCCCATACACATCCAATGACGGTGAGTTCTCATCCTTCCCTATCAGGAACACTCACTCTGAACGTGCTTCCAATAGTTACCACTTGACTAGCCATGTTGGAGCCAGGAAGATGTTTCTTGAAATCTGGTAGCAAGAACAATGACACCAGAGCTTGTAGTATGTGGAGTGTTACTATGGACCAGGCGCTGTCCTAGGTGCTTATACACATGATTTCTTACAGTAGCCCTATGGAGAGGTACTATTGTTATCCATACTGTTAATCCTAATTTTCAGAGGAGGACACTGGGCACAGAGAGGATACTAATCTAATCTTGCCTATGAATATACAGCTGGTAAGTAGGGAGGCAGGAATTCTGCTTCCAGAGCTCCACAGTACTAATAGAGCAGGTGGACCACTCACACTTAGCTAGTTGGAGATTTTGGTGAATAATAGCTAACAAGTCACTATGGCTAGCCATACCAAGCCGCTACAGTCTCAGCCTGAAGCAAAGAAACTTGGACTTCTAGAAAGTTTGTGGAGGTCACATTATCACCAAGTATCTAATTTCCAATACCTTTTGAAATGTTAAAAACACTTCAAGGTACCCCTCTCTCAATGCCTTTATCACCTTCCCAGACCCTTTGAGTCCAGGGGTCTGAGGTTGGAAACCCAATGTAACTTAACCTTCCTGTGAAGAAGAACAGAGAAACGGGAGGGGGGAATGGTGGGGTGGGGAGGGCAGTTATAATCAAAGTACTAATTATCACATTTAGCTTACATATAATAAGCAACACATTTTATTAAAAACAACATGCTAAAATTTACCAATAACTTTCCTTGTAATGACTCATGGTGCCCATAGTAATAATAATAATAATAACAACAACAATAATAATTTGATGCTAATAATAATAACCAAGATTCATTGAGAACATTGATACTTTATTAGGCCATTTTTAAATAATACTCTTCACAAAAATGAGAGATGTGTATTTTCTCTGGTTTACAAATGAGGAAGCAGGTTCATACATTACCTCACTTAATCTCTGTCACAACTTTTTCAGGTTGGTTCTTTTATGATTCCCATAACAGATGAGGAAACTGAAGCTCAGGGAGGCTAAGAAGCTTGCCCAAGTTCACACAGTGAATTGGAGGCAGAGCTGGTTCTCAAACCCAGATTTTTCTGACTCAAAAGTCTGGGTTTTGAAAAACTGCTAAAGTTCTCAAAATAACCCATGCAGTGGGCAAATATCACTCCCCTTTTGCAGTGGGAAAACAGAGATAATGGGAGGAGGGAACAGCTTACCTAACATTCTCTCAGCTTCCCTGGGCTCTCTGGATCATAATGCCTAGTACATAATGCAAAGCACATAAGGGCTTTAGAGCAGCTGGTGCTTAGCACAGTACTGGGACCTAGTGAACTATCAGTAAATGATCACTGCTGTCATTTTCAGCGTGGGAGTTGAGCAGCCCACAGCCTTGGACACACACCTGGTACCTGTGTCCTGGGCTGTCTGCATTCTGTTTTATGCCAGCTTGTGCTCAGCCCACAGGAGTTTTCTATCATTTCCACTCAATGCGCACTGATGACACATCACCCTGATAAAAGCCACCTGTGTCCTTGCAGGGAAAGTGTCCCTTTGTGGGAGGCATGTCTGAATGGATGTGGCCTGGAAGAGACCCTTGGAGCAGAGGCCCAGCCCCTGACTCACACTGAGCTGTCCCCCATCTGGCTGAGATTGGCCCTGGAGCCGCCCACTACTCCAGCACCCGCCGTCTTCTTGGCAGAGACCTCCGGCGGCAGGCTTTGGACTCCAGGCTGCAGAATTACTCACTCACTGATTCTTCCGCTGGCATCTGCTAGTATCCAGGAAGAGGGCTTTGTATTCTCTCTTTCTCACTCAGCTTTTTCCCTGTGCCCTTTATTGGGTGAATTGCTGGAGCCAGAGTTGGATTGCTCTCCCCTTTCCTCTGAGGACCAGGATCCCGCAAGAATCATCTCTGCACTTGAAAGGCTGGGGAGAAGTCAAACATCAGTTCTGGCTCTGTGCCTCTGGAGGAAGACTTAGTCACTTGGTTACCATTGGCTGAAATGGATCAGAGATGTCACGGGGAGGAAATGCACTTCCTATGAGTTAGCAGAGAATGGTCTTCAAAGAAAAAATGGCCTTTTTATCACACAGAGAAAGTTAGTGGCAAATTAATTTCCTCTTCTGAGAGTTCTGACTCAGATCCCCTAAATGCTGCTGTTAGCTGGTCCTTTCCACTCAGCACACAGAAATCATGGGAGGCATGTGACAAAAATATAGAGCTGGGGGGAAGGAAAATTAGACGTTTTATACACATCGTCTCATTTTATTCCCACAATGACCTAATGTCATTGTCTTCACTTTTCAAGAGTTAACAATATGAAACTCAGAGTGGTGTCTGAATTTATCCTTGCCTGTCCAAGGTCACACAGTACATGGCAGAGCCGACATATGGACCAAGTCTGTCTAATGCCAAAGTCACAGTAGGGGAAGCAGCTCTTCTGTCTCCTTCTCTCCGTTTCCTTTTTCCTTTCTTCCATTTGTCACCTACACCTTCCAAAGAGTCAGAGATTTCCCCAAAGGATTAGATAACACATAGCACAGTGCCTTGCATACAGTAGGTGCTCAATAAATGATTCTGAATTTCTGTGCCATGCCTTTTAAAAGTGTTTGCATTTTCAAAAGGGACTCCTGGAAAAAATAATAGCCAACACCCCCAACTAAATGGTGAATATCTAATGCAGGGGATCTTGAGCGTGGCGATTCTTCCCTCTTGCTCCCCTCCTTTGTCTTGTGTTTTCTCTCTCTTTCAAAACAAACACTGGCACTAATCTAAGTGCTTTATAAATATTTGCTGATTTAATCCTCCTTACCACTGTATGAAGTAGGTACTATTATTATTAGTGGTATGTCATTTTGCAAATAAGTAAATGGTGCACACAGAGAGGGGCTTGGTTTTCTGCCTAGGAACACACCACTTATTGGTGGTGCTAGAGTTTGAAGGTGGACAGTGAGGCTCTTCAACCACTGCCAGTGCACTATGCAGCCTGTCCAGGTGGGGATAGCTTCCTGGAGCCACTTCCATCCCTCACACGCACCTGACATTGAATGGTTTCCAAGGTATGTTCACATGTCTCATTGCATTTGATCCTCACCACCCTCTGTGAACTAAGGCCCATTATTCCCATTTATAGCAGAGGAAACCCAAGCTCCAAGAATGTAAGTAGCTTGCTCAAGGTCATACAACTGGTAAGCTGGCAGAGCTTGGGAGGTGAACTAATTTGTAGCCCATTTATTTCCATGAATGAGGCTGGTGTTGAGGAATTGGAGCTGACCAGAACAAAGACAAAGCATTGAGCAGGAAAAAAAATTGCTCAATGTGCCCATTTTTTTTCTTGACAATCGGACAGGGAAAATGTGTGTGTGTATGTAATAGTCATAAAGTATTCCTCAGACCTTGAGGTTTTAATAAAATGTGAAAATAGTTTTTACCAGCACCCTCCTTTCCCTCTTGGTTTTTAGGCTCTGCATAATTTAAGGAAATGTAATCCATATGTTTGATTATTCATACCTCCATCATCAGAAAATATTGTTGATTCTTTGAGGAGTGTTTGATGTTCTGGAAGACTTTGACTAGGGGCAGTAGAGAAGAGAGAAGAACTTTTTTTAAAAAGCATTCTTCCTTTTTCTACTTTCATTTTCCTTGGAGAACACTTTATGGTATTTCACTGGGCAATGAATGAGTGGTCACTAGAATATTCCACGTTTTCCTGTAGATTTTAAACACAACAGTGAGTCCAGGGATGCAGTTCTCAGTCTTAGGGCTCTTACGTGGAGAAGAGGGGCATTAATATCTGTGGAATTCCTACCATGTGCAGACACTTTACCTCCAATGTCTTATGCAGTGTTCACAACATCCCTGGGAGGAGGTGCCATTGGTTCCATTCCATAGAAGAGGGGAATGAGGCTGTGAAGCCAGGAAGTGGTCCAGCTGGAATGCAAATCTAGGTTTGCCTGACCCCAAAGCTGTGGTCCTCATACCTTTCAGCTTCTTTGAGAGAATACAAGGGTGTTTGCCACACAATCAACACATTACCCAATTTCATTACATTATCATCCCTCTACCGCTAACTAGCCTCTGTACCCAAATCACTTCTTCTCAGGAACCCTTGCTCACCTTTATAGGTAGTGAGAGCTAAGGGTTTGAATTCTGTGTCTGCATTCATTGAGCATCTACAGTGTGCTGGGTGCTAGGTGCATGGAGGGACTGACATGAACCAGACAAGTCCCCTCCCCTCTGGAACTAAAGCAAGTTGGGCTGGTTGATGTGCCCCCAACACTGACAACCCTTCTAAAGCACGACCACCTCCTCAAAGAGGTTGTCCATCTAAAGAAACCCTTCAGTGACACTCTGTCATTTCAATCTGTTATAATTTGCAACACAGCACATTTTACAACATCGTTCTTCTTTTTCTATGTTTTCGTTTATTATCTATCTCCACCATCCTCTCCTTCCCTCTAAAAGTGTAACAGTTCCTGGCATGTAGAAGGAAGGCACCTAAGAAATATTTTTTGGAGGGAAGCATGTCTTATTTATCACTGCATCCCTAGGCCCTAAGACAGCCTAGGGATTTAATAATAATACTATCCAGTATTTACTGAGTGCTTATCACATATCAACCACTGTTTGAAGGATTTTACATGTATTATCTCAGCCTTGTAAAAAACCATTGAGGTAGTTACAACTATTATTCCAATTTTACAAATGAGGAAACTGAGGCACAGATAGGCCAAGGTCCCCCAGCTAGCAAAAGTGGGACAGTTTAAAACCCACACAGTCTTGCCCCTAGAGCTGGACCTCTTATCCATGATTTGAAGTGTTTGATGAATATATGAATGATTGGGAGAACTATAGTGAAGCAGCATATGGAGTCTTGAAGGCATGGTGGAAGTGATGTGCTAAGTGTAGAGCATAGAATCAATGCATTGTAACTGACACAATCAAACATTTTGGAGAAGTTGACAATGAAGCTTAGCCTTAGCTAAGACTGAGGAAAGGACAACTTATGCCTAGAGACAAGGGAGGGGTGAGAAAGAGTGGGAAATAAGGCTAGGAAGGAGGGGGCCCGATAGTGGAGAGTTTTGAATGTCAGGCCAACAGATGTGGCCTTGATGGTGTGGGAATGATGTACCACAGAAGGTTTCCACCCAGAGAATACCATGATCTTTATCCTAGGTCTTTATCCTTGTGTTTGAGCTGCAGGTTCAGATTGCATATTGCATCTCATTTAATTGTCCAAGTCCTCCCTGGAGGTCCAAAGTGCTATTCCCATTTTACAGATGACTGTGGATGCCCAGACAGTTGAACTTCCCCCAGTTTATCAGCTATCAAATTTCAGCACTAGGGCTCTAATTCCCGTCTGCCCAGACTTTTCCACTACAGAGTAGGTGACCATTCCCACAACTCCAGGAAGAAAGGAATGATGCCACCAGGCCCACTTCAACTTCCTGAGGGAAAGGAGGAATATTCCCTGGTCACTGCTCCTTTCTCAACATTTAGGCCGCTTCCAGGGAAGAGCGTTTGTGCTGTGGAGGGAGGAGTGGGAGGGTGGGGATGGTGAGGCAGGCTGGAGCATTATGGAGAGAAAGCCTTGTGGAGGAGGGGAAGATGGGTGGCCGGGAAGAGAGACAACAAATTGTTTCTGGATGGAATTTTCCAGACAGGGCCTCAGTCAGAGAACAAATGTGCCTTCTGAATTTTCACTCTAATTGTTATTGACCTTTAGTGCGATGAGCAGAATTACTCTCCCCTACCCCTCCACCCCCACCCTTTTTTACAAAATAATTTTCCCTGACTTTTCAGAAATGAAGTTTGGCCAGCCCAGCCCTGACTGCCGGCTGTGGGAAAACAATGCGTCTCCTTATGGCCCCAAACAGAGCATTCGCAATTAATCCATTGATCTCAGTAGAAAACCCTATTGTATCAGGGTCTGCCAGGAGAAAGCTGCATCCTGCCCCTCTCCCACCCTGCACAGAATGCTCATTGAAGTCAGCCCCCAAATTGATGGCAGGATATGGCCCTAAGAGCCTCCCAAATTAAAGGGGCCCAGAAAATAACGCTGGCTGGGTGGTGGAGGTAGGAGAGTGGGGGAGGGTCTGGGTTTTCTTTGGAAGCAGTGGGCAAAGGCAGTGTCACAGGACCTGCCTGGGTTCAGGACTTTGCAAACTGTAGAGGTTTCTGCTTGCCCCTGATTCTCAGTTCTCCTTAGTTTCTTCCACAGCTTTAGACCCATAACTATCTAGTTTGCTGAGATTTTGGCCTTTTGTTGATGCTGATAAAATTGATGACAATGATACCCCCTGGGATCTGTTGAGCACTGAGCAATAGGGGGCACCGTCCCTTTGCCTCACCTCATTTACTTCTCGCACTGCCTTCCGTGAGGGTGATAGAGATTATAAGGACTCTCTTTGTTGAGTGGGTGAGTGGGTCCCACCTGTCAGGGCCTTTATCCATTCCGTTTCATTTAACCTTTCAAATTGTGGAGGTGAGCATACCTGGCTAGTTGAACCATAACCCAGGACACAGTAACCCAGTCCACCTGTCTTCAAAAGGCATTAAGCATCAAGCTTCAGTGGAAGTGCAAGATGTACATTTTCCAAAGCTTCTCTGAGGTGGAGTATATTGCTGGAAGGAAGGGCTGCATAAGATACCTAGGCTGAGGCGTGAGCCCTGAAGTTACCTAACCTGTCCTCCCTGAGGGAGGGTGAGATGACTGTATTTGCTGAATGGAGTATTGGTCAGGATGCTATCATCCTGGGATGACCTGCGTGCTTGTGAGGCTGCGCACAGCTTCTAAACACCAACTACATTATGTGTGCCGCGTGTGTATGCTATGCAGGAGCCCAGTTACATATGCTGTAATGGAGACAATTTTACATGGCAGACCTGCTATGGTCCCATTTTTCAGTTCTTCCTCCTCCAGTAAGCCTTCTGTCTTCCAAATGAACAAACAAGTTGTCAAAGAATTTTAAACCCTCAAAGGATCCCTACATTGTCAGTCTGATCCTGTAGGTGGGCATTATTCTCATTTTATAGATAACAAAATTGGCACTACAAGATGCAGTGACATGTTTTAGGACCCACAACCGTGTAGTTGGTTCTGAACCAGTATACCTCCTATAACTATAGAACTATATACACCTAGCCGGTAGAGAGTATTCAACAGCTATTTATTGCATAAATGAAAAAGAAAGCTACTTTTTGCTCTTTTCTAAAATATGTAGGGCCCCGATTCCTCACTGCCTGCCTGATTATTATGTTGCTATTTGTCTGGTCCTTATGCTTTTAGATAATCCTTCTACAAAGAGCGTTTGATGAATGCCCCAGAAAGTTCAGAAGGAAAGTTGGTTTTTTCAGATATAAGAAAAAGTCATGCTTCCTTTCATCAGAAAATAAGAGCTAAAGAGTTCTTCAAGTTTCCCATTTTGACTTGGCTTTTAAAAAGTTCAGGAGTAAATTTGGTGCTCAAGTTCATGTTGTTATTGGGTTAGGTTTAGTGTACAGCGTTGTTTTTTTTTCACATGGTCTGTGGTTTCAGCTTTTTTCCTCTCTCTCTCCAGTTCATTTTTACAGGTGTTTTGGGCTATAGAGAAGACATAGTCTAATAATAATAGTTTTCATCATGTCACTGGTTTCTTACGTTGTCCAGAGCCCCTACATTCCAAGACATCTACTAGGAAGCTCCATTCAGTCTCACACGTTTGCCATAAACTTCACAGTTTATCTATACCAGTCAATAACTTTGCCCCTCACGAGACATTTGGCAATGTCCAGAGATATTTTGGGTTGTCACTGGCTGCTAGTGTGTAGAAGCCAGAGATAGTATGTACTGGTAATTTCCTACAATGCACAGGACAGTCCCCATGACAAAGAATTACCCAGCCCCAAATGTCCATAATGTGAGGGTTTGAGAAACCTTGATCCAGGAGAATCTCATGGAAATAATCTGACTTCACCCCTTTTCCCTTCCCTGGACTGAGGATCTTCAGGTAAAACCTTTGGCTCACCATGTATTCTGTCCTGAGCAGGCTATTCCTCATCCCCTCTCTCCCCAGCTTCTGACTTGCTTCCATACTAATGGGACCCAGAAAAATGAGAATCCCCACCTTACTTACCTTTTGATCTTTGATTTTCAGACAAGTCCTTGCATGGAGACTTTTCTATTTGAGTTACAGGGTGATCTTGCCTCTTTGGCATTGGGAAGAAAGAGATAATTTCAGGATGAAATGGTTTTCTTCTTCTAATTGCCTTTAACTACACAGTCCCATAGAGGGAAGTAATAAAAATATAGCTCCCCAGAGCCCTGTACTGATTATTTTCTGACAGAGCTTGGGTATTTTTGCTGTGCTAACATGATCACAGTGAAGGCATTCCCCATGTCCACCTCTGCCGTCCTGTGTTCTCTTAGCTGACTGTCAGGAGCTTC